CCGCTTTTGTAGTTCCACGTGGGTCCCGCAATCCGGAGACGGCCATCTTACCCACTGTACGTAGCACCGCTGGCATTGCTCCGGAACTTCGCTGTTTCTAGCGGCTTCGTTTGTTCGTTTGATAAAATTAGTGAAAAACGTCAATGCATTTGAAATGTTCTGCAGGTTTCGACTAGAAAACGGAATTACAGGCGGCTTCGGTGCCGCTGAAGCTCAATCAACTCAATAACATTCATTAAACAACGTGCGCGACGTGCTTGGAAAACGAAGATTAGTCGGGAGGGTGAAAGCTTTCTCCCGTCTGCCTGGCAGGGATTTCCCTAGACCCCCCCTAGGCGAGGTTAGGACCCCCCCTCGTTTTTCCAAAGGCACCCCCTTAATTCACAACGACTCCTATATTCGCAATGCCCCCCCCCCCCCCCTTTAACCCCCCCAAAAAATTTAGACAGCCCCCCTGATTTCAATTCCTGGGGAAACCCCTGCTGCCTGGAGAAGAAGAGAAACGTTTCGTACCTCCCTTTTTCTTGTGTCCGCTTGGGGGCGCGTCAGTAGAAGGGAGGAAGACGCACCGTGGCTACCTCTTTCCTCCACTCTTTCTTAGAGTGTGGCTAACTGGAGAAACACCATGAAAAGTTGGCGGCAGCACCGCAGAACTGCCACCTACTCACCACAAAACCCGCTGTGTAGTCAGCTGCCGAAAGGTGATTTGGACTAAACAAATACTTCTTCACTCCTTCAGGCCATAATAGGCGATGGAGATGCTTTTAGAGTGCTCACCTATTGCATTAAAAACAGTTTTCACGCGATAAATATCCTAGATATAACGAAAAACCTTCTTCATTTCGTACCCGATACGTCCACCGTGCGAGTTCGATAGGAGACGGAATGCTGGAGAGGAAGAAACCTCCTCCTCTATCTGGCGTTCTGTCTGCTTCGTCCTCCCCAGCCTTCCTTTCCTTCGAAAAGTTTTCTTAACCTGTAACTAACTATTGTGCCCGAGTGGGGCGCTAAAGTTGGCGTTACTCTGCTCCCTACAGGAGGATAAACAGTGGCGCTAGCTACAACCTCGGCCACGACGACGGAGAGCGGGTAAACGAAGGGAAAGCTAGGCCCAATGCCACTGATATACTCCGTTGGAGACAGTAGGAAGAGTCTCCGGAGAGAGGGAAAACGTCGCGAAGCCTTTGAGCTCGGTTAAGGTCTTTATAGGGGCCTTAATCTCGGTGTTGTTCAAGGGCAATTTAGGTGGGGGAAATGCGGGGTCGACCTGTCTCCTCCTTCAAGCGTGCGAAAGAGATTCAAGCCCTACAGCAACAAACCTTAGACAAAGAACCTTGGCAAATAACCATAAACTTCCCTGTTTGCAGGGCCCACTTCGTCGGAGGGTCGGAAACGTGCTGAATTCAAAGAGAGATTGTTACTAACATACCGTTCCTCACCTTTTGATGGTGAAGGCGAGCCTTCGCGATATGAAGACCACCAGGATTTCATCCCGTCCGAATTTGTTTACACGACCCCGGGTACGGTGACACCCCGTGCGCTCGCGCGTTACACAGGAAGGCGATGTGACGGAACGCGATGAGCTTTAATAACTGAGGCGCTCGGCCAGGAGGACGAAATCAGCTGTTTGTAGTGGCCCGTTTTATGAAAGACAACATTTTACCGGACAATCCCTTTAAACTCAGGCGTTTTCTTTGTGGTCCCCAATTTGTCTGAAAATTTGCTAAACACACCAGTAAACAATGCTAAATTTTTAACCCAAATATATCACGTAACTATTTTTTTGCGAAGTTATTTCATATACAATTTTGGTCTTCATTGTGTTTTTTTTTTGTTTTTATAATGCGAGTCTACACTGACAACAATTAAAAAGTGATGTCAGTGGTAGGTACGGGTTCATTTTTTGGAATGTAGGCTTTGTTCACAACTTATTGCAAGCAATTTAGTGGTGTCAAATGAATGCTTTGGACGCTTGCTCCAGCACCCGCGCAGCAGTACGATGCAAATGCTCGGCATAGTGCATTTTTATATTGCCCGCTGGACCTGCACCTGACTGACGCCACCGCACTCAAAAGCGCGGCTTATATTGGAATGCTGGTTTTGGCATCACATTTTCGTGTGTCGATTTCACAATAACTATTTTGAACCTCGCGATACCCAATAGCATACCGGAAAGGGTAACGGCCGGGAGTCAGAAAATATAGTTAGTTGGGTAGCTCAGAAAATGGCCGAAGTACCCTTTCTAAGGGATCTTTATGTTGGCCGTGACGTTTTTCATCCCTAATCTAAACGAAGCTTTTCTAATTACCGACCGGTAAAAAAAAAAAAAAAAAAAAAAAAAAAAAAAACTTTAATGTGCGAGGGAGACAAGTGTTTTTGTACATAGCAGTATAAACTTTTCGTCAAATATGTATTTTACACGTCGGTTTTGTCATACCAAATTCCAAAGCGTAGCTCCCTTTCTGTAAAAAAATAGGGCCAAAAAACTTGCCCGACGACCGAGTCGAGTGGCCGGGCGCGTTTCGCGCACGTATTGGGCGCGCTAAGGCCGCGCTGCTTTACTACTACTACGAGAGCAGCAACTAAATGGAACACTGCGTACAAGAGCGCGACACACCGAAACTAACGACGAGCCGCATGAGCCACTTCCGACCGCACTCCTATTAAAAAATCTAATTTGTGTGAGAAATTTCTGTGTCCAATAAACACATATGAATCATACAATATATATAGCATATAAGAACCATACCACAAACCTGTTAGAAGTGTCTTAAACGGTTATAAATGTTCTTGTATATCTTATATGGTTCCTACATGGTTCTTATATGTTCTTATAGTTCCCACATGGCTCTTATATGTTCTTATATATCATGTATTATTCATATGTGTTTATTGGACACAAAAAGTTTCTGAGACAAAGGGCTTTTTCACTAGGGGCGGTTATGACTAACCCAGTATCTCGTGGATACGGGTGGCAGAAGCCGATATTATAAGCGGGGATAAATTAGCTAAGGCCTCGGTGAAGCACCAGAGTGTGAATTTTTAAAAAAATGATGGTGACGTTATAAAGTTTTCAAGAATGTTTATATATTCGTAAAAGGTTTGAAGGCTCTCTTTGAGCACCCATGCGGAAAGTTACCTTGAGTGATCTATATATTCATTGATTATGCATGCTGTCCAGATTCAAATGAAGGACAACATTCTTGAACTCGCTTGTCGACGCAGGACGCTGTCAAACTTGTCAGATGTTCCGTGGCTTCGTCTTCCAGCGCCAAACGAAAACCGTCGATGTGCCGCGCCGATAACGGCACACCACCCTTTGATATCCCGTCAATTTGTTTTCAGGCGAGGTGCATGAACAAACCTTTTCCGCAACGCTAACTGATATCTCGGCTTTCCAATCGAAGTCTCTTTATTCGCTGGCCTAAGCAATATAAAAGGGGCAGAGCGGTCCGCATGTCTCCTCATCTCGACAACTTTTCTGTCGCTGTTCTATCGGTTCGTTACTGTTGGATAGATGAATTCGTTTTCAGGGGAGATGTATGAACAAATCTTTTCTTCAACGCCAGCGGATATTTTGGCTTTTCAATCGGAGCACGGACTTAACGCGCCTGAGACGGTCAGCCGTCCAAAATGGGTACCGGAACTTAACAAGCCAACCACCGCCTCCACCGACTGGTCTATTCGACGACCATTCACAACTGTCACTAGCAGGCGCGTAGTCGGGGGGGAGTGGAGGGGGCGGAATCTCCCCGAAACATTATTCATCCTCCACCCTCTCCCGTCGCCACCGCCGCCGCCGCCGCCGCCTTCGCTGCTTTCTCTTTCGGGCGCTCGTTGTTGTTGCATACCTCGGCTCGCGGCCTCTTCGAAATCAGCCAATCTCCACGAATTTAGAGTTTTTTTTTTATTTTTTATGTACAGTGCTAATCACACTTGTCTATAACGCGCGAGCGTGCGGCTTTCTCCGGGGAGCGCTAGACTGGTGCCATTCGCGGTAACTAAGCTAGTCACGTGGCGCAGCATGGAACGGCCCGCTCGAGGGGTGTCGTCCTGCCTACTCTATCAGCTGGCGGCGAACGCGGAAGGCTGAACAATGAACAGAGTACAGCATGAAGGCGTATAAACGATGTCGTCATCAAAAAATAAAAAAAAAAATATCATAAAGCACTTTATTTTTATCGCTTATCAAGATGATAGAGTGGGCAGGACACCCCTCGAGCGGGCCGTTCTATGTTGGGCCACGTGACTAGCTTAGTTTCCGCGAATGCCACCAGTCCAGCGCTCCCCGGAGAAAGCCGCTCGCTCGCGCGTTATAGACAAGTGTGATTAGGACTGTACCAACACTGCAGCAACGCCAAGGTGCGAAACGCGATCGCATCGGGATAGGTTGCCAGTCCGATGACGTGCTCCCAGTGGCAGCTAATCGGAACGCTTTCTTACAGCGGGCATTTTGCTTGTTTTCTTGCACTCCCTCGTCGCTCTTCCCTGTCCCCATGTTGACGGTCTAAGGAACGTCTTTCTCGTTGACGTTGAGGAGTCGTCACAATTGACAAGAAAATGGCTCTAAAAGTGACGGCCCCTTTTTACTAGGTATTTCAATTGTTAAACTGAACTTCCAAATCGTCTTCGTTGTCGCTCTTTTCAAATTCAAGAGAACCGTAAACACTGTGAAATAAAAAAATAAAATATTACGAATCAAAATTCAAGCGAAATGTTTCGAGAGGAAATCAAGTGAAATGTAAGAAGCGGAATATCAAAGGAATGATAATCACTGACCTACTGCCAAACGATTCCTTTAAAAGCAGCTTTGCCTCGTACACAGAGTCAGTCTTGAACAGGGATCCGAAGAAGCAACACATCTGCCAAGGTGAGCCACCGATATTCTTACCACTCGTTTCTTTCTACACGCATGCTATTTCATAGTGAAACTTTGTGACTAACGAACAGTTTTCTACTTAACTTAGATCTCCCTTTCTGGTCGAGCTGAAGAAGTCAAGATGTATCCTACACTGCTTGTGTTTGCTAGCCTTGTGGCCGCCATCGCCAGTGTTGCCTCTGAGGAGACCTCGTCAAATGGACCTGTGGACGCATGGAAGGTAATAACGGGAAAAGGATTACTTGAGTATAACAATGCTTGATTCTCATTTTTCCTCCAAAACACGCGCAGTTTTTGAAACTATATGTTTCGTAAAGTCCTAATGTTTGAAATGTCGCTTTAGATTTTCCAGTAGCTTCGCCGTTTATAGTATAGTTACTCGGATTTAAAATTGTAGTATTTAAAATTGGCGTTATTTTACTTAGATTTCAAAATAAAGCTGCTTAAAGAGGCCATGAAAAGCGAAGTGAGAAATCACGTGGTGTGTAGCGTGCTTGGTTCGATGGTTCCAAGCTTCCACCTTCCTTTTTAAGCAAACCATGGAACGTGTCATTCGCAAGCGACGATAATTGCCGTCACGGCAATCATTGGCCACGAACACGAATTTAAATATTCGTCGACGGATTGATTTTTGACGAGCGACTGCGTCCGAGTGACGCAGTGCTCAAGTCCAATGCCTGAGCAGGTGCAGGCTGGCGTGCTTTGGGTACCGCGGATGTAGCACAGTGAAAAGGCGGAAAGTTTTTGAAGGAAATAAGGTATGAAATAGTACGGTATATTTTCAAATTTTCATACGGAAAAACAGGTTTCACTTTATGCCTTTTTTTTTTAAATTTGGACCCCTGAACGATATGCGATTAGTAAGATTCCAATCCAAAATTATTTTTCCCAGCCCAAAATGTCTTTTATAGCCTCTAGATTTTATTAAAATCACCGTGAAGCCCGCTTTCTGTATTCTGCTGCCTATTCAAGAAACGTGCACGATCTGGAAATTGCTGTGCGGTTGAGCCTGCTCTTTGTTTTTCCTTTTCTTCTCCGTTTATTCCTCTAAAACGTGTAATCCATTCCAGAGTCCCATTAGAGCGACAAACCGAAAGAGACGACAATGAAAAGCCTCAAAGAGTGTCTTTCGCGATTTGACAAGCTTTGTAGAATAAAGGAGTCTATGCTCAAACACGAGCATCATGCAGGCGAGGGCATCATTTTGCAGGCTTGCACTCACTCGTGCTTACTTCACGAGCACCGAACGACTAAACGCCTGCCAAAGGTAACATCTCGAGCATGCTGCATGTGTTTTAGACATGTAATTGTTGTTTCTTTGGGTTTGTCGCTATGGTGAAACTCGGTCATACAGTACGAGAATTGTTCAGCCCTCCTGTAGCGCCCGAAAAGCACCTAAGTGCGTTTGCGGGCTTCTCGTTCTCGATAGAAACCGCGATATTAAATGGTGTGCATCACTTTGATTTCCGGAAAGCTGCAGCAGAGTCTTGTGGCCTCCTTCTGATTAAAAACGTTGGCCGTTCTAAACCAGACGCAATGCCTTAAAACTTGCAGCAGTGTCCTGCAATAAACCCGCTTTCCGATTCCTCTCTATATACCGTTTCACATTAGGTCCAACCGCGGCAAACGCCACGATCCAATGGAGCCAATCATACAGCGCCAAAAGTGCATTGTCACGGCACTCGTCGCCTTTCTGCGTTTGGTAATAACGGCTAAGCCAATCACGGACCAAATAAAAATGGCGCAGTATTAAGCAGCATTCACTTTGCGTGACTGGTTTACACGGTAACAGAAAGCTTATAAAGGCGACTAACGCCGTGATGATGCGTTTTTGGCGCTTATTGATTCCCTTCGTCGAATCACAGTGCTGGCTGCGGTCGAATTAAAGGCCAACTCCGCTCAATTCTGAAGATATCGGAATAATGAGTGATTTCGCCTTAAAAAGCACTAGTAAAAGACACTACGCCATTTGCTTCGCGAAAAATGGTATATATATTTTTAAATTTAAATTTCAACATGAGCAGAAGTAGAAACCGAAACTTCAGCTCCGTCCGGCAACATTGGCATCGGGCCGTCCAGGACATGGTTATCACGTGGTACGAGATGTCACGTGTTGCCGGACGGCTATGCCTGGTAGTCGATCCCATATGAACCATCTTGCGGCCGAAGCGCGTCGGCACGAGAAACAGCTTCCGAGACAAAGGTGGTTTGAGTGGTGTGGTAGCCTTGGGACCGGTACTAAAAACAAAGCTCTCTAACGCACGCGTCACTCCATGGAGCGATGGGGAAAACAGCCCGACCCAGCTGCGTGTGTTCGTCTCGCACTGCGAAGCGCACTGAAAAATTTTGCAACCTATGCAGCTCGAACATTCTTTCCCAAATATGACCAGGCTTCACCCATACAGTGCCCCGATATTGACGAGTCTGAGTCCAACTCCCAGGCAGACTTATCTAGTTCTTTTAGCATGGCTTAACTTATTGCGGCGATTAAAACTGCAAAGAAACGCACGACCCCCTGTCACGAGGGTGTCTCTACTGAGGTGTTTCGAAACCTGGAAGGTCTGGTTCTTGACACACTCCTGCAGGCCATCAACCAACTATGGGAGACAGGAGACATCCCCTCTGACTGGAAACATTCTTTTGTGGCCCTATCTGGAAGACAGAAAAGACACCCAACAATCTCCAAGATTTACGATTTAATTTCGCTTACACCCATGATTTGCAAGCTTGTAGAGAGGATGCTGGCCACACGAGTGTCCTGGTGGCTCAAAAGCTACGGTAAGTATCACCCCGTGCAAATCAGCTTTCAACCGTAATAGGGTACTGAGAAGGGCCTGTCAGTTCTGGTGGACGACATCATACAGGTCAAGTTGAATGCACGATGGTAGCTTTAGACATTGCCAAAGCGTATGACAATATTAACCACAGAATCATAATGACCAACCTTATCCGGAGAGCAAGTCGTGACCTCCTTGCGCAGAAGTTGCGGTTCCATCAGAAAGACGCCGAGCTCTGTTAGGCTCTGATTGAAGGATAGTGGGTAGACCTCAAAGAAACCTGCCTTGAGGTCTACCCACTGTCCTTCAATCAGAGCCAATCAGAGCTCGGCGTTCTGACGTCACCACAACCCCTGCAAAAGAAGACAAACTTGAGCTCCGCCTAGAGCTGGAGCTTCTTCCGCGGGTTACACGGTTTGTATACTCTTTCCTTCCGAATCAAACCTTTGCTATAAGGGTGGATGGACAATGAGAAAGATGTTTTACATCCAATAGGGGAGTATCCCAAGGCACCGTCTTGTCTCCGCTCCTTTTTGACATTCCATTGATATCTCTAGCATGGCAACACCATCGGGTTCCGGACGTCGAATGTCTCATCTATGCTGTCGACGTCACTTTATGGCCTAGTCACAAGGACCTCTCTGGCAAGCCGAGCTGTTCCAAGAAGCCCTTGATATTCTTCTGAACTATTCAGAACGAGCTGGGCTGTAAATTTCTTCGCAAAAATGCAACAACGTTGTGTAGCAATCAAGGCGGGATGTAAGCAATTCACTCAGACCCCCTTTCAACTCAAGCTGGGTACCATAACAATACATAAAAATACAAATGTCCGGACATTGCGCCTGGATATTCAAACCGAAGGGCTCCGAAAGATTAGGCAAACATCTGCCACCACAACCTCTCACTCGACGGATAGCGCCGAAAGCTGGTGGTGCCCGTACAGACATTGCTCGACGGCTGGTGCGTGCCATCTTGCAACCGTGAATTATATACCAGGCGCAGTTCCAACGACTCACGCCGGCACAGTGGTCGCAATTTGAAACCAGGAATCGTGACGCAATGCGCGCTATAACGACGCTGCCTCGCTTTACTCCAATTTCAATCCTACAAAAACACACGAGGCTGAACACAATCTCGAAGCTCATCTCTCAACGAGAACAGGCAAGGGAACAGCAGTTTGTACCAGCGGTTGCTGCGCTACGTGCGCATTTTCAACGTGGCCCCCCGCTGGACGTTCAGTCGAGACCAACACCCCAATGGAAATTCACCCACATTACCACCAAGAAACCGACCAAGTTACGACTTCGCGATCAGGGAGGCACGCCCTCCTAACGTCCCTGCCCGCAAAACACAGAACGACAACCACTGTCAAGTTTACGCGGATACCGCAATCTTCCCCGGACGGCGGCCGATTTTCTTTCCTAAACAGCTCCTTCGACATTCTTGCACTCAGGGGCACCAGCGATGTGCATCTGGGAAAGTCGACCCTCTTGTCATGGAACTACAGGCCATCCAGGTCACTATACAAGCAGCAGCCACCAAGATGCCGACCATCCGCAATCTTCACATTTTTGCAGTCTTCTTAGCGGCAGTTGAAGAGCTCGAAAAGGTTTCTAAACGATGGAACTTTGTCAAACAATACACACCTTTCACCGTAATACTTCCACCTGCATTACAGGTGCACTCAAGTGGATTCGGATAACCTCTATTTACCGTCCTAACTCAATCTCTTGGTTCTAAAGCATCCTAAAAAACCTAAACTACATTTAGGGGTGGTCGATTTTCCTGTTAAAAATCCAATCAAAGATCGTGTGACGCCCACCTTTCTGCGCCGTCGCGCAGAACACCGGGGGGTGCCACCAAACGGGAAGACAACATGTAGGGGCACGCGACAGCCAATCACGGGTGACGGCTTCCCGGCGGACTGAATTTTAGAATACGCGCGCCTCCGAAAAATCAGTCCGCCGGGAAGCCGTCACTCGTAATTGGCTGTCGCGTGCTCTCCCATGCTGCCTTCTCGTCTGGTGGCGCTCCCTGGTTGTCTGCGCCACGGTGCAGAAAGAGAAGCGTGGTACGATATTTGATTGCACTTTTAATATAGAAGTCGGCCGCTCTTGAATATAATTTTGGGCTTTCTAGGTTCCTTAGGGATTGCAGATTGAGTTATGACAATAAATGGACGATTTATTTATCCACTTGAATGCCCTTTTGAGGTGTATAGGATTCAAGGTCATGCCACAAACCAATACAACCTTGCAACTGATCAGCAGGCACACTGGTGATCTGTTGGAACGCAGTTGCGCGAGGGCAGCGCACACTGCTGCGTTGCGCTGTACTCGGACAACGCAGCCGAGGCTGGTTTCACTATTTCTCCACGGGGCGCGGTGCCGTCGGGGCCGAGATGCGCTCCGATTGCAAACCGAAACTTATATACCTGTCGAATTTGTGCGGTTTTTCAGAAAGCCGTAAAATGCTTCGCGGGACTTCTATCGTTCTGCAATTTGTTGCTTTACTGTTTTTCGATGATGCTGAGCAATTTTCCAATTAAAACCATGCTCTTAAACGCTATATTTAAGAAGTTAATTACGCAAAAGTAATTAACAATTTGATTATTCCGGATTTTAATAATTTTCCTAAATAGGCCCCTGGCCCAGGACCAAGACGACACGAAAGGCGGACAAATTTCGAATTTGTCCACCTTTCGTGAAACTCCCTATATATATATATATATATATATATATATATATACATACATGTATATACCGAGATTTTTATTAAATATGACGTTCAATCTGAGGTACTTTTATTTTATTTTGGGATATGGTTTGAAGCGTTATTTTTGCTTGTAATCTAGAGCTACAACTTATGTGTATATGCAAATGATAGGTACTTATGTGAATAACAGTAGAATATATTCCAATGCTATATATTTAAACACCAGGAATTAAAAAAGAACACAAATAGGAAGTCGAAATGTAAAAGTAGCCAAATGTGAGCTTTTCGAAGCGCTATATTGCCGCGAGCAAGGCTGAGAAAGCAACGCTCGGTCACGGTCCTCCAGAAAGTTCCCGTTTATTCATGTGCCACACGTAACTTCTATCATTTATCCCTGCTTTTGTTTTCTAGAAAGTGCGTGTTCATTCTCGCCCCGATCACGCGACGCTCGAACCGCTTTCGCCGAATCTTCGAGATAGCGACGCACTCTAGATAAGAGGCCGCCCGCGACCTTGTCGAGTCAGTCTCGCCCCAGCGCTCGATCCTGCGGTTTCGCCGATTTCGACGCCCGCGACGCTTTGTTATTATCTTTTGTACTCTTTTATTTTTGGCACAAGTTCGCCACATTAAACGTTTATTTCTTCCTGTTCATCTATTGTTTTTTTGGTCACTACCCGTGACAATATTTAAGACGGAGATAAAGCAATGCAACATGCCTTCTTTACGGAAAAGTGGTGATATTGTGTAAAATGATTCGCCTACATAAAAACGAAAACAAAGTTGTTTTCTTAATGCACGTGAAGTTGCGGAACGTTTTACCTTGAGACATGTTTGAAGCACTATAAATAGCTTCATTCATAAGCTAAACATCAGTTTATATATACAGGGTGTCACAAATGAAAATTTACACGGTCTTTTTTACCGCAAAAATAAACTAGGCATCGCCAAACGCTCATTCTCCGCCCAAAGGTAGAGCTAGAGGTCACAACCAGATGCCAAAGTTTCAGCCCGATCCGATAACTTAATCAAAGGTTATAAGTGATTTTCTGAAAATTTCAATGGGAAAATGGAGCCCATTTTTGCCCGTTTTCGGTTTCTGGTGCCATAGAGCCCCATGTGTTTGAAAACTCCGTCGGCCGCCATTTTTCCATTGAACTTTTTAGAAAATCACATAACTTTTGATTAAGTTATTGGATCGGGCTGAAACTTTGGCATCTGGTTGTGACCTCTAGCTCTACCTTTGGGCGGAGAATGAGCGTTCGGCGATGCTTAGTTTATTTTTGCGGTAAAAAAGACCGTGTAAATTTTCTTTTGTGACACCCTGTAGATGATATATCCTTTTGAGGAAAATATATTAGAAAAAACCGAACAGTAAAGCTTAAAAAAGGTAAGATATTAATAAAGATATTGGGTAAATGTAAATGTATCCAAATGTATCTGTTTCGAAGCGCTATATTTCAGACGGAGACAAAGTAGTGCAACATGTCTTTAATTTAAAAAGACGACGATACGGTTTAAAAGGCTTTACTTAATTTCTTTTTTTAATTCCAAGATGGGTGTTTTTATTCGCACGTTGAAGTTTCGAAATTTTGACCTTGGGACATGCTTGAAGCGCTGTAAAAAGTGTCTTTATAAACTACTAGACCAACAATTTATATACAGACGGTACCCCCTATGCGAAGAATATTGAGAAAAAAATTAAATGCTATATATTACAAAAATATAAGATAATAACTAACAAATTTATAGTAAAAATGTCAAAGTGGTCCTGTTTGTGCATTTTTGACTCGCAATATATAAGGTACCTAAAATGCCAAGGCTCAAGATAAAATCTGCCGTAAAAATCGGCGCCTGCAGTTAGCAACCCAAACTTGTCGTCAACGGTGTATTTCAGAGATAGATTTAACATTGTGAAATTACGAGGCGCAACTCCCTTTTCGTGAAACAATATGGCGCGAAACTCTTGCCATGGTTAACGGCGGACAGCGATGCAGACAACCAAGTCGAGTGGCGGGGCGCATTTGGCCCACTTCTCTGAAGCTCAACATTACATGTTCCGGCAGGAGAAACGTTTTTGTTTTTAAATTGGAAGCAACTATATTTTTAAGGTCCTCTAATATACCGATCTCACCAGCCAGTTAGACTACGCCGCCGCTGTCGCGATGCATCGAGGTAACTTTAGTCTTTCTGCACGCGCGACAACCCCGCTAGGGTTCTGCGCGTCTGGAGCACAGGATGGCACGAGCCCTCGCATGCACTGCCGTCTGCCTCCTGTGAACTAAAGTTATGGCGGCGTCACGCATGCGCTGAACGCTTAGTGAAGTCGGTCTATTCATGATGTGTATACAGAGTTGGTGTGGGAATTGGTGTGTCAGATGACTATACTTTCCCCTCCAAATGTAGCGGGGAAACTGGATTGGTTTCTAGGTCACAGGACGTGAATTTTTCCGCTCTAATTATCAACTGACTGAGCTGGTGTACAAGTCACGTGACGTCAGTTCTCAGCTAAATTTAGCAGGTGAAACTGACCTGATGTTTTGGCCAGAATACGTGAATTTTCCCGCTAAATGTAGCGGGAAACTTAGTTGACAGATAGGTGTTGGGCCGTCAATTTCCCTAAGGAATATAGGTCACGTTACGTCGGGTAACGTCATGTGACGACACCTTTCCCGCTATATTTGGCGGAAAAATGCACAGACGGTTGAACGCACGAACAGACACAATTTAGAATTGGCGGGTAGCGCTAAAAAAAAAAAATTTCAAGCTTTAAAAAAAGAACGGTTTGAGTTGTGGCATTTAAACAGGTTAAGCGTTGTGCTCAGTGCCACAGCGCCGGAAGTTTTCTTTTTTAGATTTAAACATATGATCAGTTCCGTCATTCATAGATTGCAGTGATGGCTCTCCTAAGTGCCCTGCGGAAGAACAGACGCTGCAGAATGTTTAGGGTGATGGAGGAAGTAGAGATACCGCACTGGGCCAGCTCAAGTCACTAATTGTTTTCAATGTATTTTTTTCCAGACTGTGACTCTGCAGGACAAATTTTACCTCATGTACCGCTCATACGAAAATGATGATGCCCTCGGAGGCAACGGGAAATGTGTCTCCATACAATTGTCCGAGAAAGACGAAGGAACCAAGACCACGAAGAGCACAATGAAGTACAGGGACCCTCAGACGAACTCTTTGTAAGTATACACTTGCCCTTGGCTACCCTTCTTTGCTTCGCCTGATTACAAGGAACTGACTTTATAATTTAGGACAGAAAAGACTGTGCGTGTCACGGTGTCCAGCACGGCCGGCGACACCATCCGAATAGGCAATGCGGAGGGAGGTGACACATGTAAGCCGGAATTTCTTACTTTATTTAAAATCTAGATATCACACTTTACAGCCTCAGAAAAAAAAAAAAAAAAAAAAAAAAAAAAAAACGGTATATTCTTACACCTTTTCTCCTATATACAACACCCCAAAACTTCATTTCGACGCACAGAGCGCTGACTTCGAACGGACGGCCTCAAATTTTACGAGGTGCTTGAGAACGGTGAGATATTCCACATTATAAGCAGCTAAAATACGTATCAAAGACCACAGAAAAGAAACACTGAGGTTTTGCGGTAATACCAAGAAAACCTCGATAACTTTTTTTTTTGTAGTGAATAACACGTACATTAGCCATTTAACTAAGTTGTACCACTCGGCTATCGAGCCGCATGTTCAAGTTGGGAACGGATGGATGGATGGATGAATACGGCTGAGCCCTTTGGATCGGGCGGTAGCTTACGCCACCTAGCCATTTTGTTTTACCATTTAAGCTTAGAATATTTAAATGTGAAATCTATATTCACTCCGCAGTGCAAAGAAAGTGAGGCTATGAAACCCCCTTGCCATCAGTGGATAAGAAAATACCTAGTTTTCTCTCGATTTCTGCCACCATTCACTTAATCTTTGCTTGGTAATCTCTACAGTCTTGAAATCCACTCTCCCTTCGCTGTCTCTAAAACCCAATGACTTTATTAAATCTATGTTGTCTTCGGTAGGCATAGGGTGAAGCCCTTTACAGTAGAGTATCAAGTGCTCAGCCGTCTCGTCCTCCTCTCCAGAAGCAGTGCACACTGTATCAATTTCCTGGTACTTCACTCTGTATGTTCTGGTTCGCAGAACACCCGTTCTTGCCTCAAACAGCAATGAGCTTCCCCTAGAATTGTCATAAATGCTTTCTTTGGCAATAACTCTTTTGTTTAATCTATAGCTTTCCAGAGCCGTCTTTGTCTGCATTCCCTCTAGCCACCAATCTCTTTCTGTGGCCTTAACTTTCTTCTTAACTGAGACTTGCTCTTCGGTATCTTCGCTATAGCCCAAAAACTTTCCTCTTAATTTCCTAGTGCGCTGTCTCCACTTTGTGTCTACACTCCTCATGTATAAATAGCTGAAAACCTTTCGTGCCCATTGCTTTTCGTCCATTTGCCTCAACCTATCCTCAAATTCTACCTTGCTCACCGCTTCCCTGCTCTCAAATGATGCCCATCCCATGTCTCCTTGTACTCCCTGGTTTGGCGTTTTGCAATGTGCCCCCAAAGCCAGTCTACCTACTCCGCGCTGTTTTATTTCTAGTCTCGCATGCACTTCGGATTTCATGCATAGCACTGCGTTTCCAAAAGTCAAGCCAGGCACCATGACCCCTTTCCAAATCTCTCTCACCACCTCATACCTGTTGTAATTCCAAAGTGCTCTATTTTTCATTACAGCTGCATTTCTGTTGCCCTTACCTATTATATACTTTTCATGGTCTCTGAGATATTCTGCACCATCACATATCCATACTCCTAGATACTTGTATTTACTAGCTCTCTCAACTGTAATATTCTGTATCTTCAGCCTCTCAACTTCATCCTCGTTAAAAATCATGACTGCCGATTTTTCGCTACTGAATTCTAAACCTAATTCCTCTCCTTCCCTACCACAGATGCTCATTAATTCCTGCAACTCTGTCCTGTTGTTAGCCATTAGTACAATATCATCCGCATACATCAATCCCGGTAAGGATTGCTGAATTTTTTGGCCTAGCTTACTGTCGAGTCGACGGCTCGACGTCAGCGCCCTCTACGTCGAACTGAAGTTTCGGGGTGTCGTATATCTGACAAGGGGTGTAAGAATATACCCTTTTATTTCTGATAGTGTAGATTTACACAGCACAGTATCTATTGCGGTTTTACATTGCGTGTAAAGTCCCGTTCACACACAAGGGTCTGCTTAGGACCGAGTTTTTGTAATTTCTTACGACGAGAGAACACACTGGCACGCTGGCGCCATCTATGAGGTAATCCTCGGAACTGAATTTCACTCGATCGAAGGATTTGCGGCATCTGCAACATCAAATGTACGTACTGTGTATCAGAAATGATATTTTATGACATTGTCAGAAGTTTTTCAATCCAAGGAAGAAAGATTGATGTGCGAAACAGAAAAGGAAATATACCGAAAACCGCAAATCTTCTACAGCTACACGAAATACGGCACCAGGGTTCCTCGATGCGCGCTCTCCTGCCGACCCCTAATGCCCCTGGAGTGGCATTACGAGTCAGGGCTTTACCGACTCCCCGTACAAGTCCGATTTTCGCGGCGTTCACATTAACGTCGTCGCCATTGGCGGCATTGTCATTAGAGTCGCTACCGACAGCGGCGCTTAGGTGGTGGAGCACTCTCATTGAAGTAAAAATTAAAATAGAAAACTTTTAATATAACAGTAATTTCTATAAAACGCCTTCGGCATATCAGGAACATAGAATGTAATTTTTTTTTTCTATCTGAATTTCTATATATTTTTGTTTTGTTCCGAAAACAAAACTAGAAACCGACCGGTCGGCGGTTGCATGAGCTGTCAAGTGGCACGAGTCGCCGGCACCCCGGGCCTCGGCGCCGACCAACACCCCATAGAAGCTAAGGGCTTAGCGCTCTTTTCGTGCCGTCGCAAAGGAAGGCCATCGAGGGCGCGCGTCGAAGCGCCAAAGCGAAGGCAACGTGCGTGGATCGACCGTCGTAACAATACAAGCGTGTATTATTAGCTAAAAAAAAGAAGAAAAAAAAAAACTGTACAGAGCAATTGGTCTAGAAAACACTTTATTACATGGGCAAAATATTACACCCGATAATAATCGGTAAGGAATAGCAGGAGGTATGCGTATAAAGACCTGTCCAAACAGGATATTAGAAAACTCACGACTACGCAATCGTGCCGCGCTCCGCTGTCGGCCGTCGGGGGGAAACTTCACTCCGTCAAATCCACAGGACTCTTCCAGCGCTTCTGGGGATTGGATTGGATTCCCGCGGCTCTTGTTCCTAACGTACTTCGTATAGACAAGCAAACCTGGTTGGTTTGGAGTTTAATGAAATAAATGATATATTCTGAAGTTCTCGGTGTTTCTACATACAACTAAAAGTCTCACTGTTGCGCACTGCACTTTATTTATTTTTTTCGAGCCACGAACGTGGATTTTGACAAAGAAAGCTGAGCCAGGGCGGCCGCAGCGCACCCTTCGACGCAGGAATGTCCAAAATCCACCCGAAGCCGGACCTCCTTGGCCTTCGAGCCGAGGCGGCGGCATTACGTGAGGGCGTTGGCGAGTTGAGCCAGACGCAGGTGGCGTGTGACGTCAAATCTGACCAGCACCGACGTCAGAAAAAAGTGGAGGAGGCAAGGAGAGAAGTCGTGATCGTGAAAATTTTCACGACTCGTGCAAAAATTTTCACGACTCCGACAAATCGTAAAAAATAGAAGCGTCCGTTTCAATTTTCACGATTTGTCGGAGTCGTGCGTTTTGTAGTGTCCTGTTTAGACACCCCTTAAGACGCCTGCAGAAAATGCTATTTTATTAAGTCGAAAGGATTGAGGCACGTAATTATTGCTGTAGGAATCCGTATTATTATACAAAAATTCTTTCACAAAATGGCGAGAAACGCAGTTATTGGACACAGCAAAACAGATCAGAATAAAAATCATGTAGACGTACTCAATGCGAACACGGCTTGACAGGTGTCACTTACAATCATGTAAGCGATGCTAACACATGCAGGCACTGAATTCTCTCATTATACCCAGGTCACATTGCAAAATTAATATAATTTTCATTGAATCACTTTATATGCTTAGGAAATCAGCTTGCGATATTCGTATCTTCACCCGGGATCGCTAGGTGATTCAATCCCATAATATCATTTATTGACGATATATTAACTTTTCCGTTAGGCAGGGGTACAAAACTTACGTAATATTTGCAATCAACTAATCCACATCTCTCAATAAGCTCAAGCTGCCTAAGGACAAAATATAATTAATGCTTGATTCAATATTAATATTACCTTAATACAGTTAGGATTGTAGTATGAACGTGCTAAATGCGCTAACAAATTCAACAGAGACACTTAAGACTGCTTACGTGTAGGAATGCTAAAGCATTCATACACGCAACGTATTCCTACAAGCAACGCGCCACGCCTCCCTTCTTCACACGGCACTCCGGCGGTGACATACGCTCCCCCACTGCACAGGCGCGGCAGCCCCCCGCCGGTTCCACGGCTTCAGTGACGAGGCATCTAAGTTACAATGCTTTTCTTTGTGTTTCATTTTTTCTGAGGCGCTTCCGCTTTGCCGCCAATATGAATTCACGTGCCGTTTCGCTCAGTCAAAAAGTGAATTTAGGTACCGTTCCTCTTTGCCAGTGGTTATTTTGGTGCCGTTTCTCTAATCAAGTGCGCATTCAGGTGCTGTTTTTCGCTGCTACAGAAATTAGATGACGTCGGCTTCGCTCCATGGGACAGTTAATGCTTTCGCATTTTTAACATTTGTATAAATCAGTATAGGGCAGTAACTTGTCACTAGTAATGCGTTACCGGTAACTAGTTTCGTTTTTATTAACTTGCAACTGTCACTCAATACCGATTAATGAAAAATAACTTGTAACTGTAACAGTGTTACTATTTTTCGAAAGACACTGTAAAGAGTAAAGTCTTTACAATACATATCAGATTTACGCCTAGAAATATTGCAAACACGACCACAAAATTGTCTGGCAACGCGTCAGAGGGTCCAGAGTGCTGATGTGGGAAGGGAACAGCAAAACCTGCTGCAGAAGCCATTTGTACCACGAAGGAAAAAAATAAAATGAAAATGAACTATATTTTGGGTTACGCTGCTTGGCCAAGTTGGTCCCGCGAACTGAAGGATGTGGACATTTGTGTCCGTACCCGATGTGTATGGTACATGGCCTACAGCGAACGCAGATGAAACAATGCGCACGCAGATGAAACAATGAAACTTTGGTGATTGTCGCCTCAAACGCCTGTTTGGACAGGCCTTGAGATGGTGCCAGCTTGACGGAAATAATATTTTTGTCTGAAAAAAAAATATTTCAGTTATGAGTGCAACTATTTGACAGCATCTATGAGGATATTTAAAAGCTTATGAGACCAAACTTGCTAAAAATGCGACTTCTAAAAAAAAGTTTAAGATAGTTTTTTTTTTAACTATTTGCTTACAGTACGTGACATCTTTAAGAAACGCGGGGTGCGGCACGACCCAGGTATCTACTTATTATTTGTCCTGAGCCAATCAAATCGCGGCATTAGCAGACAAGAACGTTGAGGAAGCAGAAGCTTGAACAGAATAAGCCACACCCTGCCTTTCTTAAGCTATCAGAGACTGCGACGATTGCCATTCCTAATATATGTCTATTATGTTTGTTCGACGGCAGCGGCCACTAAATTTCAGTTCGTTCATTCGGATTACGGAACCTGTGACGTGGTTGTCGTTTTGGGAACAGGAGAACCAAGTAAGTAGTGCGGCCTTCACAATTTCAACTTCTACCCCACGTTGTTAACTTTTTTAGTACATGTAGTTTCTGCATATCACAACATAGGTTGCGCTTTGTATTAAGTGCAGACACAAATAAGCAATGCACATTATTACGATGTGTCACCACTAATTGCAGCGACAAGATAGGACACTTTATGGAAGCAATACAACGCATGTTTTACAACCTGCGAACCGACCATTCCACTGCAGCTGTGCTATTAATGCTGATGAAGTTTCTGACTTTCACTGTCAAAACGGAGTCAGCGGGTATTGCCTGGCATGCACCATACCGAAAGTCCCCGGTGTCCGGTATTGGCTATCTATGTAGGCTCGCTCATCTTTGTAATGCCCAGTGGCGGTGAGGATCAAGAGCATTTTGACAAGCGGGAGGACGGGTCCGGCAATGAGCTTGACCTCCAATTGGCTATTCTGCAGATTTGCCAGAAGGTAGGCCTCATTTCAAGCGCGGTACAAGCTCTCAAACAAATAACGGACAGCTGCATCTTTGTCCGTCCAGTAAAGCAAATCTTGTTAGAAATACCATCCACAATGACTGTAAAAATTGGAACGTAGAGTTCACGGTCAAAAACCAGCAGCTGATGCTGCCACTATTGCGTCGTAAAAATAATGGTGCACTGTAAATCTCTTTTACACGAAGTTAAAAACGGTGACCGTCGAAATCTACAGTCACTAGGTGTTGAAATTGACCGTAAACCAGATTTACAGTGCACGGTCATTTTTACGGCACTGTAACGCGGTTACAAGTAACGCGTCACATTTTTTTCGGTAACGTGTAGATATTCGTTACTTTTTCAGAACCGTAACGGCTAACGCATTCACGTTACATATCTCGAGCAACGGGTAACGGAGTTAAGTTACTTCTTCTTCCGAAGTCTTAAAAAAAAAGTTATACAAATTTTTCTCGTGTTTCTAGGCGCCAAGCCAAGTTAACTTTTGAGTTTTTTGCGTTTTTCGTTGCGTTTTTTTGTAAGTATTTAAGTGAAACCGTAAGAAAGATAAAGTAACTATGTTCAATGTCTGCATGAACATATTTCTTAAAATATGGCGCGTATGCACACCCGTAACCTCGAAACAGCGAAGACAGATAATTCATAATGAAAAAAGTTGCGCCAAAGTAACATGCGTTACCTTTTATCAGTAACGGTAACGGTAACGCGTTCCTTTTAGGTTGAAATAACGTAGGATGGTAACGTGTTACTATTACGTGGAAGTGACGGGTAACGTATTTTGTTACTTTTTTTCGGTAACGCCTACAACACTGCTTATTATCCATTTTTATATTGATATTTTAGGAATATTACTGTCACCCACCATGAAATGCGGCTGTAAAATTTACAATACCATGGTACTGAAGCGCACGATTAATTTCAACGGCCTAAATTATGCAGTGTAAAAAGCACGGCCGAGTATTTTGGGGCTGTTGTGCTTTGCACTGTTGAACAGGCTTAAAGAGCTGCGAAAAGTGAATAAAATAATCAGTCATGCACAGACAATTTAGATAACTGCGAGGTCGGCTGGTCTTGCACCATCCGATGCATTATTAATTTGCGTGACCCGTTATGTCAAATGAAAGAAAGCGATATTATATTTATTTGCATTTCCAATCAAATTTTCACATGTGGGCAATTAACTTAAGAACCTTTGTTTATATATTTTTTTTTTGTTTTTCCTCTTCGGATCCCTCGATCAGGGTGAATCCCAACGTAACATCTGTATCATCACATGTAGGAAGTAGTGTTTGACTTTACCATTTGACTATAATTCCAGCATAGAATAATTAGACAATAATAAATGTCATGAAAATGTGTAATTGGGTAAATGGTTCATCGCTCTTAATCTTATGTGAGCTTTTGAAGCACTAATTTTTTTAATGTACCCAAGTAGCCTGACACTCAACCTTGTAGGTTAATAAAACTCCCCCAAATGATATGCTAAATTCATACTGACACTTTTTTACCGATTTCGCAGCAGATTAAGGACCGAACAGATGTTCACCCAATTACAAAATTGCGTGGGTCGTAGAATTGAAATAAATAAAAGAAATATCTGCCGGTTCTCAACTATAATTTTTTATAAAGTAGCAAATAATACTTGAGCACAATTAACAATTGTAATGAAGATTTTTTGTATCGGAAACAACATTTAGTGCTGTAAAATAGACTACTGCTTTCTTTTTTTGCTTGTTTTGTACTGATAAATTGCCCTCCAATTACTTAACGGACTTTACGCTAAGCAACTTGCCCATCTTGGAATGAACCAACTGCTATTATCATGTAACAACAACATTTACCTAATCAAACCTTTTTGAGCAAGGCCTCCACATCTTCGGGATACTGAAAATGTTTATGTTCAGACAATATATGCCTATACTGGATTAAAAGCTGCAACAGCAGCCCTTGGAGGTGTTCTATCTTTTTGTTTTGTAAGAACTAGAATAGAAGGAAAAGCCTTTATATTTTGAATAAACATTATGAGTATCTTTGAACCAATACTTGTCACCGGTGCAGTAAGTCCGACGTGATGCAGATACAGGGAACATTTCCTAAAGTATATAGCACATCCTCAGTTATAATGGAGACAACCTTCATATTCGTCAAAATGACTTCTCGACTGATACTAAAACCTGAATTAAATTACGATTATCAGCTGCTTAGTGGGGCGCCAGCTGATTAACTTGCACCTTGGCTCAAGAAGCGCTTGCATAACTCGTAATTTTCTGCAGCATGTGTTGACCGAGCAGACGACTGGAGCTGTTTCTTAAACACGGATACGCACAAAAACTCGATTTCGCGGACAGATAAGTCGCATGATCGAGGCATGAGAGTTAGATAAAAATTAATTTAGTTGGAATAATTCTGTAGTCATCGCCGCTTTCCTTAGCTGCTCAAAACTGATTAGAGTCTACTACCGCCTCTACGGAGCCCATAGTTTCGATTTTGAACGAAATCTCCGAAACAAAAGTTTGACATGAAAAGAACAAAAAGCACTGTGAAAACAAAACTATACTCTGCAAGGTTATGTGCACCGGCGACACTTAAACGTCGCAGTTCAAATACCTATAAAATAGGGCATTAAACAAAAGAAAATCTATTAAATTGAATGCGCCATCCGTTCAGGCGGCCCGGCCGAGCCGACGCGACCTGCTCCAAGCCGCGATGTTTGTTTGGTGGCGGCGCCCCTTCGCCAGATTTGCTTTGCTAAGAAATGAGATTTGGAATATGTAGTTCGTTTAGTTTAAAATAAAAATATAATAATCTTTTTATAACATTGTTTCCATTTTACCTTAGGATGTGCTATATACTTTAAGAAATGCTTCCTCTATCTGCCTCACGACGGCGAATATCAGAAATATGAGTCGCGAATATGTCAGTTATGATTTTTTCCCGAGATAACATCAAATTTGAGTGGCTTTGACTACATTTGGGTTATTCCCTCCATTCATTCGGCGGTTTGTTGTGTGACCATCTGGCAGCAAGAAATGAGGAGCATTCGGAGAAATTTTTCGGCAAAATCAGTTTTCATCGCCGCCGTGAAAACTATGGAGGAAGGGACCCGTCAACTCGAAGCTTCTGAGAGCGCCGCTGTGCCTTCTCGGAAAGGAAAGCTCGAGTGCAACAAGAAATAATGCGATGCCTGGAGATACAGACGCCATGCAAGATGCAGACTTACCGTGGCGGATAATATTTCGTGAAGTGCCGTACACACAATGCTGCCTACCAAGTGTCGTGTTCCTTGTGTTCGAGTTCGAGAACTCTAGCTTGTGTTATCCCTGTTGGAAAATCTCGATGATGGAAAGATGACGGAAAAGGCTCATACAAGCGTAACCGTAATATGGGACATCCTATACAAGCGGAACGGCGGCTCCAGCATAGTGGATTAAGGCGGAACGATACAGGTCGGCGGAACCATACAGGCGTGTCGTATTATGGGACATCCTATACCAGCGTAGTGGATTAAGGCGGAACCACGTAGGCGGACGGAACCATACATGCATAACGTAATATGGGACATCCTATACCAGCAAAAAGGCGATACCAGCATGGTGGAGCCATATGGCTCCAGCAGGTTGGTTTCGCCTTTTCACTGTTGTACAGGGCGATTTAGTTTTAAGCTTTACATATATGTTTAGAAAGGTCGTGAAAGCTAAATTAATGCGGTTTGTGCAGGCGAGTTATACGGCCAGGCGTACGTAGTATAGGGACCTAGTCGTAACGATCAGTCAGATAATTAAATACAATTTGTTAATCAAGCTTTTAATTAGTGAAAATGAAAATATGGTTTCAAGTAGAAACTTGCTGAGTCATTGAAAACCACAAAATCAAGTTTCTTTAGAAGGATATAATGCAGGGGTAGCGTTTTATGCGTTCTGTAAAAAGCTTTATTTGGATGAGTTTCTAGGTTTCAGTTTCTTATCAGAGCTCATCTCTGCACCCACGGTCCTGTTCCCCAGGGGCTTAGACACGCAACACACGTGCGCCTTGCTTCCCTTCATCCTACGAGGGAGGCGAGGGGGCGGCTTCGCACTGCGGTCACCGGGCAGCTGGACCGCAGGTGCAAAGATGCGCTCTGGTAAGAAACCGAAGTCTGGAAACGCGTCCAAATTGACCATTTTTTTAGAACGCCATAAAATGCTACTCTTGTCTTATATCTTTACAAAGAAAATTGATTTAGTGTGTTTTGATGATGCTTAGCAAGTTTCTAATTGGAACCATGGGTCTATTTTAACTGTTTAAAAATTTCACGAACATACTATACTTAGAGAGAGGCTGAAGCAGTTTTCTATTTGAGAAAACACTTTTAAATCTTCTTCATTCGACCTCCAGAATCTCAAATATCAAAATTATTTGCTAATTTAATTAATCGAGGCTGCATAGTCATTTTTAAAGCGCTGTGAAAGCACTTCCCTAGAGAGCGACGTCACAAGAGCAGCTTTCAAAATCTTTGTTCACGCATCTT